CTTCCAACGGACAACGACCGTAATCACACAGCCAAGACAACGCAGGAGTGGCTTCGGGACAAGTCTCTGAATGTCCTTGAGTGGCCCATCCAGAGTCCGGACATGAACCCGATCGAACATCTCTGGAGAGACTTGAAAATAGCTGTGCAGCGACGCTCCCCATCCAACCTGACAGAGCTTGAGAGGATCTGCAGAGAAGAATGGGAGAAACTCCCCAAATACAGGTATGCCAAGCTTGTAGTGTCATACCCAAGAAGACTCAAGGCTGTAATCGCTGCCAAAGGTGCTTCAACAAAGTCCTGAGTAAAGGGTCTGAATACTTATGTAAATGTGATATTTCCGTTTTGTTTTTGTAATACATTTACATTTACGTCATTTAGCAGACGCTCTTATCCAGAGCGACTTACAAATTGGTGCATTCACCTTATAGCCAGTGGGATAACCACTTTACAATGTTTTTTTTTTTTTTTCTAAAATCCTGTTTTCGCTTTGTCATTATGGGCTATTGTGTGTAGTAGATTGATGAGGATAAACAATTTTTAAATCCATTTTAGAATAAGGCTGTAACGTAACAAAATGTGGAAAAAGTAAAGTTGTCTGAATACTTTCCGAATGATCTATATAGCTCTCCACACGCCATCTCACATCCTCACCCCATTCTCTCATGCTCTCAAACATGTCCATATCTACACTTGGTTCGGAAACAGCCACGGAGGAACGTTCCCCAATGCAATTGCCGGCCCTATCTCTCTCTCCCCCAGTCCATATTCTACCTTCTTCTGCCAGATTGTCCACCCATACGCCCTCTGCTTACCCACTCCTCGCTCCCAGCATTCCCAGTTTAATATGTCATTCAATTTCAATCTTGACTGTAAATCGCTTTGGATAAAAGCATCTGCTAAATGGCATATATAATCTCTTATTTTTACAGTCTATTGGTACTTTCAAGACAACTGGGAAATCGAAGAAAAAAAACTTGTCTTGAACGCACTGAGTCGTACATTCAGACGATATTATAACCGCGATCGATAATAGACAGTACTGTGCAGCCGTTTTCATTGACCTGGCCAAGGCTTTCGACTCTGTCAACCACCGCATTCTTATTGGCAGACTAAATAGCCTTGGTTTCTCAAATGACTGCCTCGCCTGGTTCACCAACTACTTCTCAGATAGAGTTCAATGTGTCAAATCGGAGGGCCTGTTGTCTGGACCTATGGCAGTCTCTATGGGGGTGCCACAGGGTTCAATTCTTGGGCCGACTCTTTTCTCTGTGTATATCAATGACGTCGCTCTTGCTGCTGGTGACTCTCAGATCCACCTCTACGCAGACGACACCATTTTGTATACATCTGGCCCTTCATTGGACACTGTGTTAACAAACCTCCAAACGAGCTTCAATGCCATACAACACTCCTTCAGTAGCCTCCAACTGCTCTTAAACACTAGTAAAACTAAATGCATGCTCTTCAACCGAACGCTGCTTGCACCCGCCCACCCGACTAGAATCACTACTCTCGACGGGTCTGACCTAGAGTATGTGGACAACTACAAATATCTAGGTGTCTGGTTAGACTGTAAACTCTCCTTCCAGACTCACATTAAGAATCTCCAATCCAAAGTTAAATCTAGAATCGGTTTCCTATTTCGCAACAAAGCCTCCTTCACTCATGCTGCCAAACATGCCCTCGTAAAACTGACTATCCTACCGATCCTTGACTTCGGCGATGTCATTTACAAAATAGCCTCCAACACTCTACTCAGCAAATTGGATGTAGTCTATCACAGTGCCATCCGTTTTGTCTCCAAAGCCCCATATACTACCCACCACTGTGACCTGTACGCTCTTGTTGGCTGGTCCTCACTACATATTCGTCGCCAAACCCACTGGCTCCAGGCCATCTATAAATCACTGCTAGGCAAATCCCCGCCTTATCTTAGCTCATTGGTCAACATAGCAACACCCACCCGTAGTCTGCGCTCCAGCAGGTATATCTCACTGGTCATCCCCAAAGCCAACACCTCCTTTGGCCGCCATTCCTTCCAGTTCTCTGCTGCCAATGACTGGAACAAATTGCAAAAATCTCTGAAGCTGGAGACACTTATCTCCCTCACTAACTTTAAGCATCAGTTGTCAGAGCACCTTACCGATCACTGCACCTGTACACAGCCCATCTGAAATTAGCCCGCCCAACTACCTCATCCCTATATTGTTATTTATTTTGCTCATTTGTACCCCAGTATCTCTATTTGCACATCATCTCTTGCACATCTATCATTCCAGTGTTAATACTAATTGTAATTATTTTGCACTATAGCCTATTTATTGCCTTACCTCCATAACTTGCTACATTTGCACACACTGTATATATATGTATTTCTGTTGTATTTTTGACTTTGTTTTGCTTTACCCCATATGTAACTCTGTGTTGTTGTTTTTATCGCACTGCTTTGCTTTATCTTGGCCAGGTCGCAGTTGTAAATGAGAACTTGTTCTCAACTGGTTTACCTGGTTAAATAAAGGTGAAAAAAAAAAGAAAAAAAAAATCCGAGTTCCGAGTTCCCTGTTGCTTTGAACGCGACATATGATCTCTTTAGAGATGAATGCCGCATTCAAAACAACTGGAAACGGGGAACTCCTAAATCTCCCGACTTGAAAGCACCAGAAGTTCTCTTGAAAGCACCAGAAGAGCCAATGCGAGAAGGATAACTGGGAGTTTTTGTATGGAGGTCAACGAGAGAGTGTCTACTTTGGTCAACGAAAAATGTAATGGCTTATTTGCTACTTGTGGCTTATTTTATCAAATAGAAGTTTCGTAATGATAAGAGTGTACTGATATAAGTAGGACACGTGACATGATCCCGGCAACTTTGAGAAAAAACACAATCAATCGGAGGGTCATGCTAGAGGGGATCCATCTTTTGTCAAATTAACGTCAGATTGACTTTTCGTAGCAGCAGGTTAGGATAATTAGGTTAATGTTAGGGAAAGGGTTTCGGTTAGCTAAAATGCAAAAAAATTAAATAATGTTGACGTTAATTTGACAAAAGCTAGATCCCTTCTAGCCATGACCATCTCGGCGTTGTGTCAGTTCGTCACTAGTTACCACAAAGTCTGAAACCCCGCCTATTTCTAAAATTGATCTTCTTTAAATATGATTATTAACCTAACACTAACCTTAACCAAGCTGCTAACCTTATGCCTATCCCTAACCTTAAATTAACATTTTTACATTTTAGTCATTTAGCAGACGCTCTTATCCAGAGCGACTTACAGTAGTAACACATTTTGTTTTCATTAACTTTTACGATATAGGCCATTTTGACTTTGTGGCTGTGATAACCTGAGGTGGTGGTAGCTAGTGGAAACCGTTGTGCCTGCTGTCAGAGAGGAAGAGGAAGAGGAAGAGAGAGGCCCAATTGGCCCTCCAGTGGGCGGCATTTTTTCGTTGTTTCGCCCTCCAAGCAAGGAGTTTTTGTATGGAGGTCAGTGGGAGAGTGTTGAATTTGGTCAACAACAAAAATGTATGGTTTATTTGCTACGTGAGGTTTATTTGATCGAATATACGTTTCGTAATGCTTAAGTTGTTACGAGTGTACTGATATAAGTAGGACACATGACATTCCGGCAACTTTGAGAAAAAACACTTTATATTGGAGTTGTCTCGAGATGGCTATGCATATTCATGACATGAGGCTAGTAGCATAGCATCTCTCTCCATTGAATACAGGTGGTTGACGTCAACAATCCTCATCGAATATTCAAAAAAAAAGATGAGAATAATGAGATGTATCATCCAAACCAAAGAAAGGATATGCGGGAGCTAGAGACAGCCCGCAGAGCCGCTTTGTGGACAACGACTGCGGTCGCTAGGGCGGAGAGACAGGTATTTGGTCAGTATAGTTGTTCACGCGAGTATCTGCCCTCTCATTGGCTAGAATGGTCCCACCTGATTTTGCCTCCTCCGGAGTATCTTCCATTTTTGAATAAAAAAAATTCCCATTGTTAGAGCGGCCACTAGACTAGCGTACCACTACTTCCTTCACTATGGAGTGGAGTTTAGCCCGCTACGACTAGACTAGAATAACTGGTCAATATAATGGACAATCTGTGATACATTCAGGGTCAGTGGCTGATACGGGGCAGCAGGTAGCTTAGTGGGTAAGAGCGTTGTGCCAGTAACCGAAAGGTCGCTGGTTCTAATCCCCGAGCCGACTAGGTGAAAAATCTGTCGATGTGCCCTTAAGCAAGTCACTTAACCCTAATTGCTTGTGTAAGTCGCTCTGGATAAGAGCGTCTGCTAAATGACTAAAATGTAAAAAAAAAAAAAAATGATACACTGTAGCCTGGTTTTATAGACTAGAGGTAACATAGTAAATGTAAATCCAGGACACTCAAATTAGTATGATATGTTACATTTGGTATGGTTACTTAAGGCAAAAACGAAAGTAGGTTGGGTGGGTGTTTGGTTGGTTGGGTAGGCATATAACACCAATGTCTTTGGTTGGTTGGGTAGGCATATAACACCAATGTCTTTGGTTGGTTGGGTAGGCATATAACACCAATGTCTTTGGTTGGTTGGGTAGGCATATAACACCAATGTATTTGGTTGGTTGGGTAGGCATATAACACCAATGTCTAGTAACCCAAAGGCTGGGAGTTCAAATCTCATCACGGACCATTTTAGCTAATTAGCAACTTTTCAACTACTTAGCATGTTAGCTAACATTAACCATAAACAGTACCGGCACCCAAAATGAGTACCGGCCCCAATTTCAGTCCAAGTCAAGCAGTTCCGATTATCAATATTGACAATGTATGTACAGCCACTTAAACTTGTGTATTTCTGTGTATAGTTTAGTCGGATAGTTCCCCCTTAGCCATGTTTTTAATACAGGCAGCATTACTAAAACATAAGCCAATAAACGCTCTGGTGAAGGCATGTCTATGCTCTGCAGCCATGGATGATACCACCACAAGTTCAGGAACAAGCCTGCATTAAATGAACACCTGCCCTCTTAGGAGTGACTGGCCGACTGTTACTCCTCCGTGGCGGCTGAGTTACGACGAACAGCTCCAGCTGAAACAGAAGCACCAGAAAAGGATCCTACTACAGCTCTCAGCTCAGCTCTTATGGGGAGATTCGAACCAACATAAGGCCTTGACACCATCTCCGTCCCCACCCAGGAGGACCAGCTTCTCTCTGCTGCCTATCTTATCATCACCTGTCAGGGAAGGCTACCGCAAAACAAGTCTTCACTTCTCAGTCAACCGTGGGATGGATGGCAACCCTAAGATGGTGGGATTCTACGTGGCCACGGGCAAGGCGGGCAACATCGTATGTGTGAATGGGGACCACCTCCTCAACATGCCAGAGACACAAGCTTGTGGCCAGGTGCTCCCAGGACTTCCTCCACCTCACCCCTGGGGCCCTGTCTGCTGTTCCATAACGGAGGCCACTGGAGGGAGGTTGGATAGGATAGGACAGCCTTTCTCAACCAACTTCACAGGGCCCACCAGTCATTCCATATATTTGATGTATCCTAACACCAGCACAACTGATTCAAATCAAATGAACACTGGTGACGTTCCTGCCTGATCTCACAACGCTTCGATAGGTGTTTAACATATCAGCTAACTACATCATATGATATAGCAATCTGATGACCGACTGTGCAGTCAATGATGTGGCACACAACCATTGGTTGATGCAATGCAACCGCTGTGTTCAAGAGCATCAAAGCTGTGATGGCCGTGTTCGACATTGCAGCCGACTTTGTAGGCGAGTCAAGACTGCTTGATCTACAAATCACCTTGCATCATAAATAACAACCCAATATTATTTGTAGATCAGTCAGTCAGTCAGTCACAATTTACCCATGATACATCACGGTTTTGATGCTCTCGAACACAGCCATAGTCTGCAATGTAGTCAGGCAGGAATGCCACAATTGGTTGAGTTCCTGCCTGACTATATGAGCAGGCCTTGCATTGCATCAACAAATGGTTGCACACTACGTCATCGGCTGTGCAGTCGGGCATCAGATAGCTATGTCATGTGATATGGTTAGATGATATGTTAAATACCTATCCAGACGTTGTAAGATCTGGCATGCGTAACGTAGTCGGGCAGGAACTCAACTCAACCGTGTCCAAGGGGTTTCCACTAGATATCACAGCCACAAAGTCAAAATTGGCTATATCGTAAAAATGTGCTTTTTGGTCTTAAGTTAGGGCTAGGCATAAGGTAGTGTGGTTAGGGTTAGATTAAAAATAATATTTGAATAAGAGAAATTGTAGAAATAGGCATGGTTTATGACTTTGTGACTGTGGTAACTACTGACAACAGTGTTCAAGGCCCATAAGTCCTCCCTGGTGGAGTACTTCACCAAGGGGCCTGGTGCCATCTGCCAGCTAGACTCCCTGTACTTCCAGGAGAGTTCCATGACCCCCTGCAGCCATGAGGAATCCCCCTACCAGCTGCTGCATGTCCTGCCACACATACACCAGGAGATGATGAATACAATACAATGCAATACTATACACAATACATTAACATACACAGTGTAAAAAAGGCTACGGTAAGAGAATGGTATAGTTTCATTTGGTGACTTTTTACCTTAAAGGGATAGTTCACCCAAATTACAAAACGATATATATAAGCAGTCTATGAAGGTATGACAGCAATACACGCTTTGGTTTTATTTACCTGGCCACTGTTTCCAAATGCAAACTTTTTAGCTTTTGTGGCACAAATCCAATGCAAGTCGATGGTACCGATATTCACATTTTTCACACTTCATGTCCAAATCATCTGTAAGTAACTTCACAGAGCTACACAATCCATTTTATACACTTTATGATGATTTGGACATGAAGGCCGAAAAATGCTAACATCAATACCATTGACTTCCATTGGATTGAAAATTAGTATTTGGAAACAGTAGCCAGGTAAACAAAACCAAATCATGGATCGCTGTCATACCTTGTCCATAGACTGCTTACAGGTTAAGGAAACAATACATAATTTAGTAGTTTGGGTAAACTATCCCTTTAAGTTGCCCTTATATACCTATGAAAATTCACAGTAATAACTGTAGAACAACATTGTTTTAACATGTAGTTACATAGTAATTGCTTTGTAACTACATGGGGATAGTTTAGCAATGTAGGTTATTGTGGAATCAATTTATCATACACCAAGTTCCGCATCTAATCAGACACCTTCTTCCAGGTGAAACAAGGGGCACACTCCTTGACGTGTTCTGTGGAACGAGGGCCATTGGACAAGGTCATCGGGATAGAACTCATCCAGCAGTCCGTGGTGGACGCCAGGCACAACGCAGCCCTCAACCAGATCCAGAACTGTGAGTTCCTCCCGGGGAAAGCAGAGGTGGTCCTTCCAGGGCTCATGGAGGTCCTGGGCTATTCCTCAGACAGCAGCCCCCTCACAACTGTGGTGAACCCTGCCCTGCCCGGGCCGGGCCTCATTATCGTGTGATCCGGGCTCTAAGCAATCCCTCATCTATCCGCAGGCTGCTCTATATCTCCTGTAAACCCGAAGGAGAGGCCATGAGGAACTTCAGGGAGCTGTGCTGCAGAAGCTGACAGGGGAGGCGTTCAGGCCGACTGTAGCTGTGCATGTGGATATGTTCCCTCACACACCACACTGCAAACTGTTGCTGGTCTTTGAAGGATAGTTCATTACCACCACTACAAGTTACACTACAACTGAAGCAAGCACACACATTTTCTTTAGAAAATGTACCTTTTCTAACTCTTATACTTTGTGAATGTTGTCCTCTGGATTGTGTGATGACTACAGAGATAAAATTGTCAAATCAGTGGAAATTCAATTCCAAAATCCTCTCAAAAAGGAAAGTGATCATTACTTAAAAATACAAACGCTGAGAGCTTTTCAATGTCATGTAGAATATTTAAATCAAAATTGTACGTTATCCAGAGGCAGATACTGCATTGTGAGGGGTTGTGTCTCTATATTCTACAGCAGGATTGAATCAAAACATTTTCTGCCTTGTGAATGGATCAAAAGTAGGAAATGGGTGGAGAGCAGGGGGAAGTGTGTTTGGAGTCGCTTGCTCACAAAACGCTGGAGTAGATTCTCCGCTATCTTCCCCTCTTCTGTGTTTGAATGAGGCACATGCTGTACTCCATCTGTTATGTCATGTAACACGCCTGAACTGCGTAGGCGTAAACTCCATATATGTACACTAGGTGGTGCTATAGTGTCAACTATAAACTTCCACTGTGTAGTCTTGAGTTAACCGTTTTACGTTATTGCTGACATAAAAGACAGGAGGAACCCTTAAACTGAATCACCGTTAGGGTGAAATCTACAGGATTTGATCAGTTCTCCCTTCTAAAAACCCATGGTTTGTATAAAAAAACTAAGAACAAAATACATTATGGACATACTCTGTGGCCAGTTAATTAGGTTCACCCATCTAGTACCGGGTTGGACTCCCCTTTGCCTCCAGAACAGCCTGAATTCTTCTTGGTATGGATTGTACAAGGTGTCGGAAACGTTCCACAGGGATGTTGGTCCATGCTGATGCGATGACATCACGTAGTTGCTGCAGATTGGACGGCGGTACATTCATGCTGCGAACAGCCCGTTCCATCTCATCCCAAATATGCTCTATTGAGTTTGGTCAGCAACAATGTTCAGATACACTGTGGCCTTCAATCGTTGCTCAATTGGCATGAAGGGACCTAACCTGTCCCCTCACCAGTACATTACCGCCACCAGCCTGTACTGTTGACACCAGGCAGGCTGGGTCCATGGACTCATGCTGCTCATGCCAAATCCTGACTGCCATCACCATGACACAACAGGAACTGGGATTTGTCGGATCAGGCAATGTTTTTCCTCTCCTCAAGTACAACTTATAAAGTTTAGCATACATACATGTGTCACAAATAATCTCAAAGCATTTCTCATACTCTATCAATGATGTATAAACATACATAGTGGGAATTCTCCCTACAGTGGGAATGGTTATCTCACTCTTTATACACCATTTATAGAATATGGCATATGCATATAGATACTTTTTTGGTCAAAGCAGCTGTTAAATGGTTAATTCTGTGGACTCCTAGGAGGCTTAGGTTTATGACTAGAGTGGAATTTAAATAAAATAGAATCACAAGTCAGGTGTATTCATTATGCTTTAAAAGTTGAATCCACATTCAAAACTTGGTTTGAAGTACTAAAAGGACAAAACAAGATACTTGAGGCAAAGGGCATTTCAATATAGCCTTTTCTCATGTTTTATGACTTACAATCAACACTGTCCAGGACATAGCTTAGTTGAAAATGTGTACAAAAAAGCAGACCTCATTAGATGTCTTTTCAATGACACAACTAACCATTTCAGACTTCAAATAAGTAGGTGCACCTTGCTCCACTGACACTAGCTATTGTGAGGCTCTAGAAAAATTAATAAGGATAGGGGGAAAAAAGTCTAGACTATGTTGACAAATGTTATTTCGCTAACAAATATATTATATGTATAATATTGTAATTCAAATCAAATCAAATTTTATTTGTCACATGCGCCGGTGTAGACCTTACAGTGAAATGCTTACTTACAAGCCCTTAACCAACAATGCAGTGTTAAGTAAAAAATAACAAATAATTAAAGAGTTAAAACAGTAGCGAGCTATAAGGGGTACCGTACAGAGTCAATTGCGGGGGCACAGGTTAGTCAGTAATGAGGAATAGTACATGTAGGTAGGTCATACAGTGGTTGGCATGGTACCGGTACAGAGTCACATGTGCGGGGGCAGCAGGTTAGTCGAGGTGGATATGAGGTGTAATGTACATGTAGGTAGAGTTTAAAGTGACTGCATAGATAATAAACAGAGAGTAGCAGCAGGTGAAAAGAGGGGGGGGGGGGGGGGGGGGGGATGCAAATGTCGGGGCTTTGATTAGTGTCAGTATGCTGTTTCAGTTAGAGTTTTGGATGGGTTGGGAGAGTTGGATTTTGTTAGAATCAGTTAAGAAGCCTTTTTGCGACCTTAGACTTGGCGCTCGGTAGCAGGAGAGAACAGTCTTGACTGGGTGGACTAGAGGTCTTTGACAATTTTGAGGGCCTTCCTCTGACACCGCCTGGTATAGAGGTCCTGGATGGCAGGAAGCTTGGCCCCAGTGATGTACTTAATTCACATGAACATTCAAGTATCAATTTAGTTAAACATATTTTTCAAAAAGTGATTAGCTCAATTGATAACGACAGAGTCACATATTACTTCCCAAGCAAAGTCAATTTTTGCTTTGCTTTGACTCCTCGACTTTAGAAGGTCGTAGCTCAGCCTCAGAATGTCACCATAGAGACAAACCAAATATATCCCCACGTGCATCAGAATCCCGCCTTTCTCGTAAAAGTTACAGCTTGTTTCTAGCCTAAAGCATTGCAGAGTGTTGTTTAGGATACATTTTTTTCCCATTCAAAATCTGAAACTAAAAAGGGTATGGTTTTTGCCCTTTTCTTTAACAAGGGGTATGGCATACCCCCACATACCGCCTCAGTTCGAGCCCTGGTTTTAAGGTACTGGTTCACTGTAGTTCACTGACAGTCTAGTTCACTGACTTATTGCACTCAATGTGCAAACAACGTTTCAAATATACAGCAGGAAAAAAAACTGTTTGAGCTAGCGAGGTTACACTCTATGTGTTGTAATGTGTTGCAACAATTGTCCCTTGGCTTGCCTAACAACGGGGTGTTATTTCTCTCCCCACAAGAGGTCAGAGGGATGATGTCACGCCAGACCTAGACCACAGGACCTGCTGACCAGTAGGCCTAGTCACAGACTGGCCACTAAGCCAGGAGATACAGTGGGGAGAACAAGTATTTGATACACTGCCGATTTTGCAGGTTTTCCTACTTACAAAGCATGTAGAGGTCTGTCATTTTTATCATAGGTACACTTCAACTGTGAGAGACGGAATCTAAAACAAAAATCCAGAAAATCACATTGTATAATTTTTAAGTAATTAATTTGCATTCTAGTGGATTTTTGTTTTAGATTCCGTCTCTCACAGTTGAAGTGTACCTATGATAAAAATTACAGACCTCTACATGCTTTGTAAGTAGGAAAACCTGCAAAATCGGCAGTGTATCAAATACTTGTTCTCCCCACTGTACGTAACCTGGTCCCAGATCTTGTGACAATGACCATATTAGTTGGCAAACCAGCATTTGAGTTGCCAAGAAAGCACAAACTGATCTGGGACCAGGCTAGTAGTATAGTGCCAGGTTGGCTAGACAGATGACCACATAGTCAAATTTAGTTGAGAAAGAGATAAATGCATTCCAGGGTGTCAAGATGAGTTGGCATGTTTTGTTTATCTTTATTGCATGTGTCCCAGTCAGTGCCACTTTATGGTATGTATTACAGGGGGAGTTACCCAGTTCTTTGCTTATCTAGATTTGCATCAAACAGTTCTAGAATGTTCTCTGATATATCAGTCAACATCACATCTTAGAGTAGGAGTGCTGATCTAGAATCAGTTTAGCCTTTTATGTCAGGGGTATTCAACAAGGGGTACGCGGAAATGTATATAATGTATTTTTATGAAAATTGCTAGCACCAACAGAATAAATGAATTTTGAATAACGTACAGTAGAAAATATTATATATTTTTTTCGAGTGATGTAAACTTTATTTCTGAACTCCTAATATTGAGCAATTACACTAATTGGAGCCAATTACACTCACTGGAGTATCTGACATAGCCTATTCTTTTTCAAAGCATATCAGTCAATAGGCTAGCAGACAATAGGCTATCAGTCAATAGGCTAGCAGACAATAGGCTATCAGTCAATAGGCTATCAGTCAATAGGCTATCAGTCAATAGGCTAGCAGTCAATAGGCTATCAGTCAATAGGCTATCAGTCAATAGGCTATCAGTCAATAGGCTATCAGTCAATAGGCTAGCAGTCAATAGGCTAGCAGACTTGGACATTTTTGCCAACACATCGCTAACCTTTGTTTAAAGGTCCAATGCAGCAGTTTTTATGTCAATATCAAATAATTTCTGGGTAACAGTTAAGTACCTTTGATTTGTTTTTAAAAAAGCAACAAAAATAGCTTCTTGGCAAAGAGCAATTTCTCAAGCAAGATTTTTGCTAGGACTGTCTGGGAGTGGTCTGAGTGGGGAGGGGAAAACTGAAAACTAGCTGTTATTGGCAGAGAGGTTTGGAACTCTCTTTCTTACTGGTCTATTAACTAATGTACTGCATGGTGATGTCACCATGGAAGGCCAAAACTCCATCCCACCAAAACAGGCTGAAATTCCAGGTGGTCTTTTCAAACAGTGCTAACACTAAAAGGGCATTATCATAATTTTCCCAATTTCATAGTATAGTGTGGAAACATATGCTGTATAAAACAGGAAAAACACATCTGGGCCTTTAACCAGCTAAACAGGTGCTCTGATGCCTTGCTAACTGGTTGAATGCGGCACTTGTATAACTACACGTCTAGTACGTGAACACGGCATTAGCGGAAATGTTTTGGAGTTACCTTTCTAACTAATAGGCTATATTAGAGTTTACACTTCCTCTTCCAATTATAACGTGGGG